CAGCGAATTAAAATTCAGCGGCTCCGCTGGCTTGACCATGTCGTTCGAATGGACAGAAACGCTCCTGCTCTGAAAATATTCAACGCGGGCCGCAATGCTGGTAACAGAGGAAGAGGAAGGCCTCCTCTACGTTGGAAAGACCAGGTGGAGAAGGATTTGGCTTCACTTGGCATTTCCAATTGGCGTCAGTTAGCACAGAAGAGAAATGACTGGCGTGCTGTTTTAGACTCGGCCAAAATCGCTTAGGCGGTTATAGCGCCAATAAAGAAGAAGAATACACTAGTGTGCTACTTGAGTAAATATCGGTCAGTAATTTTTCACATCATTATTATTACCTGATTTTAAAATTGGGGATATGAAAGCAATCTTCCAACAATCAATAAAAACAGCTATAGACAAGGAAAGAGTAAAGATACATTTTAATAACAGACAAAGAGAAGTACTACATTTCTTAATAAAAAATTAAAATAACCCATCGATATCACATTTCATGGAAGGTTTCAGGGAAAATATGCCATTAATTATATCCAAATTGGGAACTGATAGAGTCCCAAAGTCAACGGCTTGCGATAAGCCATCACAACTAGCTTTAGCCGTGTCCTCGCCATCTATGATAAAATTAAATAAAATAAAAAAATCTGCAAAAAGATTTACAGTGTCTGGAAAAATTTCAGCGCATTTCTCATTTCGACTCACACAAGTTGGAATATTTTTGCAACCACTCTTTGACCGAATAAAGTCCCATAAAGCTTTGGGATACATTTCCTTATTGTTCAAATGGGAAGATGTATTGACTTTACAGAAATTTATCAAGTGCATTGATTTAAGTAATATTTATAATGAATATACATATTTTTTCTTAAAAATTATATTGTTTTGTGTTTAGCATTGTATAGATTTGAAAATTTGTTCCTTTGGTTCTTCAGTTTCGTTAAATAGTACTTCTTATGCCAGGTAAATTTATGAACCCGGGCCGGGCAAACTGATAGGTTATTGCGAAATATTTCGAAAATGTTGAGCAGGAAAGCTTCAAAATATTCAGATACTCTTTTTGGGGCAAAAACCGAACTCCAGCTAACTTCAAGGATTCTGGAATTTAAAGAGTCAAAATCAGCATCTCAAAAGTTAAAGGACCTTGTAAGACTTTTAGATACAGAAGCAACGTTAAAATATTATACAGGTATTGAAAGAGGAAGATGATGAATATCAGATTAACATAGCGGAGAATTACATTTGTTTAAATGGAAAATCTAATCCTCGTCAACAAAAACAAGATCAAGAATATTATTTAGCTTGCCTGCAGTGCACAAGTGTCCACATGATATAAATTTACTAGTTCAGAGATAGTATCTAACAGAATAAGACTTGGATTGGTTGCTTTATTGTGCGATGAGGGACACAGGATACTTAAAAAAATCCCATTTCTGCAGGCAGACGAAGTGTAAAAAATTCAAATCTAACTACAATTCATTTATCTGTACAAGCAGCAACGTGCACGAACAAAGTATTATATTGTTGTTGTTTAAGCAACATCGGTTCGGCTACAGCAATCGTCAACTAACGAGATTTTTCGTTAATTTATCTCTGAACTATCTACATTGGAATGCTTATGGGGCAACTGTCCACAGCCAATGACACCTCAACTGAGCGGAAACTAGTATTATGGAAAAAGGAACCCATCTTGAAATATTTTTAGGCTAGAGAAAATTCATGCAGGGTTATTAGAGAAAAATTTCATTTGATTGGCGTAAGAAACCCAGAAATTGGACTGAATAACCTTATTAAGATTAAAGTCACCGATAATACAAAGTGGCCTATCTTCATTATTTTCATATATTAAAATCCAACAATCACTCAGACAATCAAGCCCTGTAGCGTAGCACGGCTTCTGAGAATGAAATTCTCTATAACTTTAAAATTTTAGTGTGCTATGTAAGTTCAACAAAAATTGTCAAATAATGGCGAAAACCCTGACAATGTAAAATTTTTAGAGGTTTTTGCTAATTTTTTACAATAAAAAATGTTATCTTTAAAAAACCTTCTATAACCTAAATGTGGGAAATTAAATTCTCTACATATTTGTATTAAACCATTTTTTACGAAAAATGCAAAATAAGCTTGCAAATCGCAAAAAACCCAAAAACCTTAAATCCAAGATATCGGAATGTTACCAAATGAAATTTAGGTCCAAGACTGTGGATCCGTGATCTACGTGTTAAATACATTGAATGAATGTTTTGCTAAGTTACGGTTAACTTAGCAAAGTCTTAATTATTTACCAAATGGTCGGAGCACAAAAAAAACGAAAAGTGGCCGAAAATAGCACACAATGAGCACAATAATACGAACAAATTTTTTCTTCATTTTTTCGTTTTAGCGCCGCTAACTTGATTGAGCTTCTATTTCCGGTGTAGTAAACGTAGTACATAGGGCGACATCTAGATGTCATCTACCTCGCCCTATTCACTATGGTTTTTTATAGGAGCTTTTCAAAGCTTTGCTTTATGGTGTCGGACACACAACATTGAAAGTTTCTGGAACACAACATTGAAAGTTTCTGGAACACAACATTGCAAGTTGATAAAAGCGTTGTAAAATGAGCGTGTGTAAGGAAAAATAAAAAATTACATTTTACTGGTTGACGTTTTTAAGTAAATTTGAAGTTTAATTTTATTTATTTACCCTGCCAGCCAAAAGTGGTGAAAAATCTGGTGAAACCGCGGGTTTCGGTCACTTCAAAACTGGTGACAAAACTGGTGACATTTGTATGGGCGGTGTGCAGATTGTCACCACTTTCCCCCTGTACGTGTGAGCCTTGTATCACTGTCGCACTCATTCAGATACTTCGTAAGGAAAACATAAAGCTGCACTCGTCTAGCATTGCCCACTTCAGCTGGCGCAGGGTTGCATTCTCTTCACAGCGAATTCAAAATAACTTTAAAAACTTAAAATAAAATCTTAAAATATTTTTTGATTTTTATTTTGCAAAATTTATTTTTCAAAATACATTGTTAACCTAATATTAATAGCTCGTAATCAATATTATGAATAAAAATTACAATTAACATTAATAATAAAGATATTTTTACACACATATGTAGTTCCTTAATTGCTTATTATTACTACTACTCCTTTGCATATAGCTGTTTTAAAAAGTTGCAAAATTTCAATAAAAAGTTAAGCGATTTTAACAGTATTATAATCAAAAGAAAGGTAATCGGTTTACCTTTCTTTTAATATATATTGACAGTTGAAAATAATTTGTACTGGTTCACAAAAATTTAGTTTTGTTAGAACTTTGCAAACTGTGACAACTTTTTCACTTCTTACATATAATGTTATCAAAAGTTGCAAAATTTCTATAAAATAGCTAACCGATTTTAACAATATTATAATCAAAAGAAAAGTAATCGATTTACCTTTCTTTTAATATATATTAACAGATGCAAATCATTTGTAATGGTGCACAAAAATTCAGTTTCGTTACAACTTTGCAAAATTTTACCACTTTTTCACTTCTTATATATACATGTTTTCAAAAGGTGCAAAATTTCTATAAAATAGTCAACCGATTTTAACAATATTATAATCAAAAGAAAGGTAATCGATTTACCTTTCTTTAAATATATATTAACAGTTACAAATCATTTGTAATGGTGCACAAAAATTCAATTTCGTTACAACATTGCAAAATTTTACCACTTTTTCACTGCTTATATATAGCTGTTTACAAAAGTTGCAAAGCTTTTATGAAAACGTAAAGCGATTTTAACGGTATTATAATCAAAAGAAAGGTAAACGGTTTACCATTATTTTGATATATATTAAGAGTTGCAAATCATTTAGGGTGGTTCAGAAAAATTAAGTTTTCTTGCAACTTTGCAAAATTTGACAAGTTGGACCTACACTTTGAAGGTGCTCCTGGCGTTGAAGGTGCTGAGGGCGGAAGGTACCCATGGTGCTCCTGGCGATGAAGGAGCTGAGGATAGAAGGTACTGGTGGTGCTCCTGGCGATGAAGAAGCTGAGGGCAGAAGGTTTTAATGGTGCTCCTGGCGATGAAGATGCAAGCGTTGAAGGTGCTGATGGTGAATCCCAAAACTGTAAACAAACAAAAATATCAATTCAATTTTATAAACATATAAAAAGTCTCAATACATACCTTAAGAATGTGACTAAAGTCGCTGGTGTTTTGCAGTCTAAAAGAAGAAATTACATTATAATTAAATAAAATTGTTAAATACGTATCCTTACCTTCAAAATTTCCGCAAAGTGAAATTTCTTCACAGTATGTATACTGTCATCAAAACTCCGATGTTTCTAACTTGCTCGCTCTAACGCATAGAATTCTTATTAGAGTACGAATTCTTATCGGGTATGTAGCTCTAACAAAGGGACATTTTTTTGACAGTTCGAACAAAAAATTTGTAAGTGTGTGGGTGAGATGACTAAAAAGTTGTGAATGTGTTTGTAAATCGTTTGATTTTCAGGGGAAAGTGGTGAGCCGTGGCTGGCAGGGAAGTTGTGAATGTGTTTGTAAATCGTTTTAATTTCAGGGGAAAGTGGTGAGCCGTGGCTGGCAGGGTATTTTCTTTAGTCAAAATTTGTTAATTTGTTTGTTGTTTTCTGTCTTTGATTTATGAGCTGCAGTGTTGTTGGAGGGACTTTCCGGCATAACAGCACTTGGCATCAAACGTGCCTTTCCTGTACCTCCCGGTGCATTTATAAAATCTGCTGCTTTAAAATGTTTAACGCACAGCAAGGCATTTCGCTGCAGCTCTGCCCCACAGCTGCTTTCGCAACGCTCCTTACGCGAAGCACATTGAGGGACGTTCAAAAAATTAGTGACATCTGATTTATATTTAACACCACATAAAAACAACGCTTCAGGTGTTGCATTTTTAACACATACACTAAGTATAAACCGCACAACACTACAAAAATTCAAATGTTAATTAAAATTTGTTTTTAACGAACATTAAAAAAAAACAAACTACATGACATTTAAAACGTAACGAAATATAGGAAATAAAATAAAACCAAGTTGAAGTTTAAAGGTTTGGTTCTCATGAGAGCAACGTCATTTTGGCTTCTACCTGTATTTATGTGCCTTGATTGAAACAAAGGTGTATTAAACAAGGTGTGATTGACAATTCAGTGCGGCTCTCTTTTAAGGTACTATTATGTCAAAGAGTATAAACAAACGAATTAACCCTTAATTTTGCATGTATCTTGTCAGCACTGATGCCCTAGGCTTTTATTTCGATTATAGTTTTGTTTTACTTACATTACCTGGAATATATATATTTTGTCAATAAAATAAAACAAATTGTTTATAAAATAGTTTTAGCAATTTTCTTGTTTTTAATTGCCCAAGTTTTATGCTTTCGTTTATTTTTATATTTAAATTTTTTATCCTAAGCATTATTCGACACTTCTAAAAGTAGGATTTTACCATATATGTAATACTCCTATATTGGCAGTAAGAGCTAGTACCGTCCGAAAACACTACAGTACAGATATATTAATAAACACGTACGAAAGAAAAGGAACACATACGTTTATAAATAAACATGTACACGACACCTTTACAAAAACGGCACTCAAGTACACAATACATTGACAAAAACAGTACTAGACTGTCTCGCTTTGATTTCGGAATGCTAACACATTGAGATGTTAGCTTACTACCAATATAGAAGTATTACATATATGGATTTTACATTTGTTTCCAATTTTATATGTGAGCTTAATTCTAACAATTTTGAAACTAAATTTTTTTCATGCCAAATAGTTTTCCATTAAAGACTTTGCTTCGAGCAGTTTTAAATTAAGCTCTTCCATACTTGCTTGCATGGTTTTAATTATTTCGGTAAGAAGAAATATTTGTGTTCTCAACGTGCATTCTAAAGAGTCGCCTGTTTGAGTTTGGACATCAACAAATAATGTATCGTGATCGCGTTCTAAATCCTCACTTGTTTCAGTTATTTCGTATGGCATTGGGACTGCGCCTGGGTATAAATGAGCTCGTTTGAAAGTGCTTGATTCGGACGGACAACTAATGAAATCACTTTCCTTGAAGTGGTATTCACAAACGCGAGATAAATCACGTAGTACAACACCACAGCTTTCTTCCCGTCGCTGCCGTCTTAATTCGCAACTAGGTGGTTTAAAACATCGCACTATTTTCGTGTCCTGACTTTTATTGCATACAGCGCACCGTTCAAACGTTTTGCTCCGTTTCATCTTGGTTTCCTTACATTAAATATTTACGAAAAATCGAACGTATTTACTTATTACCCAACTTTAAATGTACTTACTTGCTCTCCTCGGCGGTTTATCTCTTAACAATTTCACGTTTATTAAGAAAATTTGTTGCTTTAAAAATTTGTGTGTAACTTGTTTTTTTTTTAAACAAATTCAAATTTGAAAAAAAAAAAATTTCAAATGGGTTAAGAATTCATTTCAGTTTGACATTATAGTCTGTTTCTTATGAGAGCAATGTCAAAATCAATAACACTTTGTTGAATACATTTTGGGTAGAATTTTTTAATTTTTATATTTTTTTTTGTAGAAGCCTTTTAACTTTACAAAGTAGAATTTAGGAATTTTAAAAATGTATAAAAACAAGTTTGTACGTAAAAATAGAAAACTTCCCAGCGTGACCGAAACTCCAACACAAACTCAAATTTTATGGTTCCACCCGACCAAGAAACGTATGTTAGCGGATGGTACGAGTTCTACGATAGTTTCTCTTGCCCTCAAGTCCCACCTCACCTAAGAGTCTCGTATTTCAAACGGAATTTTGTAGTTTTGCTTTTCTATCCATTGAAAGCATCGATGATGTATTTGTTTTATAATTTTTCACTAACCTTTCTCGGACAAAAATAAAAAAATTCAAAAAAATATATAGAAGGAGGCATCGCTTTAATGAAAATTTTGTAAGAATATTTCAAAACATTAAAAGTGAAGCGCTGGTTATTCTTGCATTGTGCTGCGGTGCATAACATGAGTACTGCCACATATCGAATCTGTTTAATGGGCTTTGAATAAAAGCGATTATCCAGTGCAGCGCATGACAGGGCAGGACAGCAAAATCTGGAGAATTTTGATTTTTCGCTATGTGACATTTTCGAAGAGAGATGCCATTGCTCTCATTAGTCTGTTCCAGTACCCATGATTTACAGGAATTACTGAGAAGTCGTTCTTGTACATAAATTGGGGCATATTTATAGTCGAAACAAAGTCGATTATAAAGTAAGTTGGCGCCATTTCATTGAAAATTATGACGAATAGCAGCAACTAACTTTAGTATCGACTTCATTTAGGCTATGAATATGCATTCTTCAGTTATGTCTTTTTAACCAAATCCTGGAGTACTGGAACAGACTAACTGATTACACTGAACAGCTGATTACGGGAAATTATGCGGAGTATAATTACATCCCTGCTTAACATGCGCTGCATGTCTATGCCCTGCATTTGCAATGTAAGTATAACCGGCGCTTAAGTAAAAGTAATTTGAGCACTGAGTTGTCAATCACACCTTGCTTAATACACCTTGAATATGCCTTGGTAAAATCTGCCGCGTCTATCTATTCTTTCGAAGATATTTTCCAAAAAAACGAAAAGTTTTTTTCCAAACTAGCTCCAACGCAAAGCAAAAAATGCTTAATCCAATAAATACGCTCATTGCTGTGAGTATAATGCGCAAGTCTTCCAATTTCATTGCCTCAAAATCCGGTTTTTTATTCAAATCTTCTAAGTGAATCACATCCATTTCCAACAACTCCAAAAAGCTGCTATGCCGACGCCAATATTCGATTAACCCAGCTTCTTGAAGTCTCGATTGAAAATCATTTAAACGCTCCTGATGCACAGAATTCTCCGGTAGGGTCAAAAAAACCGGATAATTTTTAAATAAACACATGTCCGTCAGACGAAAGAGCGGTCGTGAGAAGTACTTCTGTTGCTCATCGTAGATGTGCCACATATCGTGGACGGAAAATGAATAACGAGTGTCAAAGCTGTCTCGCAGCAATTGGAATTCCGTGAGATTAGTGAACCCGGTTAGGCTTTGAATGTATTTGCGGTATTCTGGCTTGCTTTTAAAAGCGTTTATCTCTAGAAAATAAACTGCTACTTTGATGCCCCGACTTAGTATATCATCAATGGTTTTAGTTGGCGTGCCAATAGGCGCATTTACACTGTAACTCTGCAAAAACGCGTTGTAGGCTGCACCAATAAGGATACCCGTAAACCAGATGAATACGCAGATGTTTTTGTGTAAGACTGAAATTTGGCGGTTGGTCCAAAAGGACGATCCCAATATATGTTGTTGTGATTGTTGCTGCTGGCTTAGACTGCGTAATGCTAAACGCCAAACTAACGATGTCAATACGACACTGATGCAGAACAATAATACAAACGATCCATGCATTATCGTATAATAGAAGGTGGCGTTCGGCAATGGTGCTTCGAGCCGCACCATTAAACAGGAATCGATGTATGCGAACGGTTCAACAGAATGGTAATTAATTACATCAACTGATACAAATAATCCAATGTCAATGTTATTGCTCTCGATAAAATTAAACATTTCTAAAGGGATAACACGACTTAAATATGAATATTCAATCGTTGCATTTAAACGGTATGCATATTCGGATAAAGCTTTGCCGTAGTAACCGCTTAATTTTGAAGCATTATCCTTAGTTGTGTGGTTGTAGTACGCCGGATAAATGGGTTCTGAGCTGATAAGGCGAAGTGGATGACCGTACATATTTTCCAAATGTTTAGTAAATATATTTTCGAAATATTCGTCAAAGGTTGATTTTGAGACCTTGGTTGTGGGGAATATGTGCAGGGCCCAATACTTTTTTTCGACCACTGCCATATGTGGCTGCAAGGCGATCACATTCATGGCACGGTTTCTTGCACACATCCGCAAAATGCTGCTAATATATGACTCTTTAGTAGAATCAGGAAGCAGTAAAATGAGACGACTTTGTGTGTTGTGCCAAAGACGCCGCCACAGTGTAGTAAGCAATTGCTCGTTTAAATCAGATCGTTGGTGAAGTCTGGCGATGGTTAGCAACTCAGCATTGAATGTTTTCTTGTAAGCCTCAACGGACGACGAGTAGTCAAAATGCAGCAAAGGTTGTGGTAGTCCAATGGCAAGTGCGCGTATTAGATGTGCAGGCTGTAGCTCGTCAGTTGACTTGAAAGTGGACACATTTTCATAGCTCGTGTAGAGTATTGTATTCACCTGGCGTTCCAGAGAAGTGGCCACCACAATGCCCGTAAGAGTTTGGATGAATTTTTGGTTTACAGCTGACAACTCAATAAGATTGAGTAGTAAGGAGATATTGCTAAATACTTGCATTTTCGATTCGATAAACCGTTGCGTAAATAGTTTATTCAATGCCTGTGATATCTTCTAACACTGCTTTTGTTTTGTTCTCAACTCAAATGATGA